TTTTGTCATTGTACATGTTTTTGGATGGCCTTGTCAATAGAAACACTCAGTTGTTCCCACACAAAGACCTCAGTTTCTTTTTGCGAACGTTATTTGTTTACATTCTTTTCCTTGAACAGACTACTGCCTTATTCACCCTAACGGGATATCAGAACAATAACATTTTTCCCCCTTCACATCAGCATTCTCATCATTTTGAATAGTCTCTCTCCTCTGCCATTTTTCCAGGACCCATCCTCTCCCCACCCCTGCCTTTTCTGCAATTTTTTTCAAAGGCGGACACGACTCCACCTGCCTTGCAATAATGAACTTTGACTTCTTTCCCCTTCAGCATGAATCGATTTTTCTTGGCATTCTGCCAGATACAGATCCCATCAGTTTGGGTACAAGTACTTATTGGAGAGTTTTTAAGTAAGAAGGGAGCAGAAAAATTTTGAAAATGGTACCTAAACAGCACAGAAGCTATACTGCTGGTTTTAAGCTTAATGTAATTTTACGTGCTGAACAAATTGGAAATAGAGCAGCAGCTCGAGAGTTTGAAGCGGACGAGAGATGTATTCGATGTTGGAGAACTGAAAAAGAACTTAAAAATATGCCACAACAGAAACGAGCCGAAAGAAGTGGTACTGTAAGGTGGCCGAATCTAGAGGATGACCTTGCAAACTGGATAAAGAAGCACCGAAAAAAAGGAATGGCAATTTCGACTGTAAAAATTCACTTACAGGCAAAATTTATAGCAAAGCGAACATAAATGATTTCAAAGAAAAGCCTTGCTGGTGTAGCAGATTTATGAAAAGAAAAAATATTTCTGTGCTTACTAGAAAAAACAGTCGGGCAACAATTACCAATGGACTGGCAGGATAAAAAGGCATCTTTTCTAAAATATGTGACAGATATTATTGACAAAAGAAAACTTTTTCTGTCACAGATAATAAATATGGATGAAACGCCGTTACCTGCAGACAGAACTGTTGATGAAACTGGTGCAAAAACTGTATCTGTGCTTACGATGGGGCATGAAAGAACGTCATTTACATGTGTGTTAGCTTGTGCTGCAAACGGTGACAAGCTAAAGCCGATGATCATTTTTAAATGGAAACTATTCTGAAGGGAGATTTTCTAATGACGTAATTATTTGTGCAACGAGAATGGCTGGATGTGGTGAACAATCATGCATGAGTGGCTACAAAAGTTTCGTCAGTGTCGTAAGGGATCTTTTTTTCAACCAAAAGGGTTATTGATAATGGATTCCATGCGTGCTCATTTACTTGAGTAAGTGAAAACCAAATGTCAAAAACTGTCTACGACCGAAGCAATGATTCCTGGTAGTTTGACGAAAATCTTACAACCATTAGATTTGCCAGGTAATAAATCCTTCAAAGCTGAAGTCCGAAAACGGTGGGAGTGTTGGATGAGTGAAGGATTGCATACATATACCAAAAGCGGTAAAATTCATAAAGCATCTTATGAAGAAGTTGCAAAGTGATTAGGAAGTGCATGGAAATCGGTAAAAACATCGTCAATAATAGCAGGATTCAAAGAAGCTGAAATTATATCTTTAGATAAAGAGACTGTAAACCAAGAGGATGAATGTGACGATCTAGAAGACTTGGACTTAGATCAGAATTTACTAAATCTTTTTAATTCAGAAAGTGAAGAATCAGATTTTGATGGCTTCATATAATGTTATAGTTGCTGTAATTCCTTTTGTAAGTAAAATTTAAAATTTCCTTTTGTAATCAAATTTAATATTTTGCTGTTGCAACATTTTTTATAATATAGTCTGAGTATTACAAATATGGACTTCTTTAGTGGGTAAATATAAGTTTATTCATAAACGTAAATATATTTTTCACATTTCTTTAATTAATTTTTGAGTTATGGTTTCATTTCATGCATTTTTCTTAACTGATATATCAGGACATAGGTTGAGATTTTGCATCTATATGGCCCACGACGATGTCACGCGCACTTTTATCTATTGCGGTGTTTACGCTGGTGCAGCGTTTCTGTGTAATTTTTAATTTTTTTTCCCTTCTCCATTTTTCTCGAGTGCGGCATTTATGCTGATGCGGCCTTTCTTCCGGAAATTATGGTATATGAAAAACAAATAAATTAAAAATCATAAATATGCTTAATGTACATATAGATAAATTAATCAACAGAAATTTTTTAAATAACTATTTGAAGTAATGCAAGTTTCAAGCATGCAACTGAAATAGTTAAAATAAAATTCTTAAAAAGAGAAAAATATCTGAAAGTAATTATAATGACAACAGAAGAAGTACAATATAAAGTAAAATTACTTGTAAGGAAAAACAAAATGAGCCCTTTTTTCTACCTGCAGAATGAAAGTGATGAAAAGATTAACATAAACACTCAGGTAATCACCAGTTGGTGGAAACAGAAAATGTGTGTCAGAAATTTCTATCAACTTACTCGAAGGTTTCTCACCAAATTTTAAAAAATTTTGTTTTGAGGCAAAATTTAAGTCATAGAATCGAAATATGGCAAAAAAACAGCATGTTGTTTCAGAACAAGTCAGATTCTGTGTAAAAATATGTTTGTTTCAACAATGCCATATATAAACCACATACATATGCTAAACTGCACTTTCAAAATTTGAAAAACACAAGTTGAATTCTGTCTATTGGTCAAGTAGAATGGGAGATACAGAACTCTCACCCCCCTTATCTTTTGACTCAGTGTACACATGCTTGTAAAAATAATAAAGAACCAGTGGGGTCCCGAGCTCATCATGTCAAGAAATTTTCCAATCACAGACAATGCTCAATCCAACATGTCCTTAGCCCTAACAAGCCATATGGTACAAGTAAAACAGCTGGTAATTTTGGTAATTTTTAGACAAATGATATCAAAATTTTATCTCCCACACAGTGGTTTTAATTTGCTGGAGTGTAAGGATAATAATATTTTATACTTCGGCTTCCTTTACTTTAGTTCATTAGTTTTAAGGGTAAGAAAATAAAGAGCAAAATTCATGAAATAAATCCAAACAATGATCATTTCTAGATGAGGGGCCACTAAATTTGACAAGTCCAGCAGTCAAATCGCAATTCTTTTGGCAACTGCTGGAATGATCTTTACAGTGAGCACCTTTCAAGCAGTTCATTAAAACAACCAGTCAGATGACATTATTAAAATTACGAAACTAAGCAATCAGGTGAAAATATACAGTATATTGAACCAATAAGATGGAATTGTTTGATTTCTGCTCAGTAATGATAATTATTTTACTCTGCTAACCACAAATAATACACAAACTCTATGATTACAAAAATTCAAGATGTAAAACAAAATAAATGGAATTCATTTTCCATTTTTGTAATTATATAACTATATTACGTATAAGATAAATTTTACCTGAACACAAATTTTACTAGCAGAAGTGATCCAAATATCTGTTTTTTTATAAACAAAAGAGAATATCTAATCACTAATATTAAAAAGCTGCAAAAACAAAATCTCAGATAAAACAATTGCATTTTATACATCTAAAATGATTAAGAAAGATCAAACAGGAAATAAAGTATAAAATGACAGAAAACAAACACCTTTCATTTAAAATGGAAGTGAAATTTGATTAAAAATGTATGTAGTATCATATGGACTAAATAAATTATAAGCATTATAAATGCACAGAATTTGGATTATTTGAAAAAAAAAGAGGGTGACAAATGAGTACTAACAGTCTGTACATGAAAAGAAAATGATAAACCTACCTGGAAAAAATTTCAATTGAAAAAAATAAATGTAACTTAATAGAAAAAGGCTAAATGTGCAATTTGACACAAGTGAAATAAATTTTGAATATATTTATTGCACACAGATTAATGATTTAAATATAACATGCAAAAAAAAAAATTACAAGTTCCTGTCCCACAACCCTCTGCTTCTCAAACTGTTTGCCGAAACTGCCAAGCCATTTTCATAGAATATATACAACATTAAAAATAAATGTGAAAGACATGATACAATATTTTTTTTAATTAAATTTAATGACAAACATAGAGCCTTATTATTTTATTAATTAGGATGATGGCATTGTTTGTATCATTTAAAAATAATAACATATAAGGCATGTTCTATGAGATTTAAGTTTGGTGAATATGCAAGCCATTCCATGTGTTCGACACATTCCCTTTAGAGGATCTCAAATGCTTCAACTGGCCTGTATGGGCACGCATTACCACTCATGAACAAAAAGTGAGGACCCACTGTACCACTAGAAAGACCTAAAAGTACCTTGAATACAATGGTAGATGAGGTGCAATGGCTCTCTCGGATGTAACAATACCTATATCATAGACGTGAAATGGTGTTCTGCTACTGTGTATAATGTTCCTTTCCCACACTCTGCCAGTATAAAGACCAGCTTAAGGCACAAACCAATATGATAGATGATAAATTTTAAATATGCTTACTGCAAGCATGTACACATATCTTTCCTTAAGCTACAATACATAATGCTCTGCATGTAAAACAGCACTAAATCTAGCCGCAGCCCAGTGTCACACTAGTCAGTGTGAAATTATAATTCAAGTCTGAGCCCAAGGTAAAGTGGCGTATCTACATAAAATGGCGCCCATGGCAAGAATTTAAATTACAGCCCCTTAAAATAATTAAAATAGGCGAGAGGCATCAAATGCCACTAGTACGTGCAATGCCTTGCATATCCTAGATACGCCACAAAGTGAGCTGCAGAATTTTTATTTATTATTTCACTATTTGGCATTATTGTCCTTTATTAATTTTTTATCACTTTATTTAATTAAAATATTTCATTATTATTACTTTATTTATTTTTATTTAATTTTTCTGGGAGTCCTAAAAGGGCTGTAGCAATTCAGAAATTAAATCCTAATGCAATTTTTTTTCCCCTCTCACTAAATTATACATAAATAATATACACTTTTCAAAACATTTTCAAGACAATTTCATAAAAAACTGAGCTAATGCTAAACATGCAAAAAGCTTACTTCTTTCCTAGAAGACACATCACTGAATTAACAGGAGAATCAATATGCAATGCTCGAATTAACTGCTTCAGTGTAAAGCCCTTTCTTGATTTTAGTCTTCTTCGATTATATTTAGCTAAAAAACATGGAATATAATTAGATGCAGCAAGTAGAAGATTAAAGTTATCCAACATCACGTAGAAGCTTTAATATGGATGCTTCAAAACATGTTTACTAAATGCTCTTTCTTAACATAGTTTTGCAAAACACACACATGTACACACACAAAGATAATGAATAAAATAGAGTAATAAGCATAATAATAAATAACAGCCTAGAGTAAGTTCAACAGTTCAATCAAAATCAACTTCCTCATTTGTGCAACAGAGAAACACAGCATATTTTAAGGAAATTTTGTATTTTGTTTATGTCAGATAAATAAAAAATTCTTTCTTTCCTCTAGCTAAAATTTAGTTCATAAAAAAGTATTTGTTAAAAATATAAATTTCAATTCTATCATTTCACACACTTTTTTATTTTTCTTTAACTGAATTTATATGACTTTGTGCCACTGTTTAATTTTTTATTATTATTTATGGCAACAGTTTAGTTGTTACTATATCATGAGTGTGTGTTTACATACTGCTTATGATTTATCATCATGTTTTCCTATGTTCTGTACCTTTAAATTAAATGCTTTTCATTGAAGTACTTAATGTATTATCCAGTTAATATTCACCATCTGTTTTCTTTAAGATTATTTAAGTATTAAATATGTTAAAGTATATGATAAAAAGAATTAGAAATAATAATGCATTAACTAATTTTTAGGTTTTTGCTACTCTGTGCTTTTGTTGTTTTTTTGAGTTAACTCACATTTGTTCAAGCTTTGCAATGTTATGAAGTTCCTCAATGTAGTATTTTAACACTTTGGTAAGTCATGGGTCAAGCATATTCTGATGTTGTGCCAAGTAGTTTCAACTGATGTTTTTTCGAAGAATAGAACGGAACTCATTGAACCTAATATAAGTCATAAGTGCTTTGTTTTCATTTTCATAGCAACCAAAGCAGTTTAAAAATCAAAAGTTGAAATTATGCTTAATCCATGTTAGCATCATGTCCTTTAGTACAAGAAAGCGATTGACTTTTGTGGAAACACAAGATTATTTTGTAAATTATCATTTTGATGCATTAGAAACTTAAGGAACTCTAGTTAAACCTGAAAAGCTTTCCATACATGTTTCAGTTGTTTAACAACAGAAACATTATGAAGCTGTTAAGAAGTTTTAAAACATAAATACCAGTTCTACTATATTCCCATCATATTTATTCAGTTCTATTAAGTTACATGACAAAAGAAATTCTTTAAAAATTTATGAGATTTCAATTGCATGAGAAGTTCTATTGGAAATACATTGTTGTTTGAAGCATCACTAAAAAATCAACTATATAATATATAAATGCAGTTTTCCCAAATCAATTTCAATGATAATGATTTTATAGAGCTCATCTTTCCAAAGTAAATAACATATGATTTGAAAAGAAAAAAAATATATTACCCGACATGGTTTTAACTTCAAGATTTTAACTATCTTACCCAAAGAATACTAATCATTTAAGTCAAGCTGGTTACTCTCGGGTGAACCAGCTCATGACTTAACAGCACAAAAAACAAAGAGAATTTAAAATTCCCCAGAAAGGCAATATCAGTGATGGAGTGACATTAGCATTGTCAAAATCTGAAAAACAAACTCAGAACAACAGCAAGAAAATATAATTGAAATAACTTCAAGCAGAAAGGACACTGGGTGAAAAAGTGCAAACAGTGGATTGCTGATAAAAGGCCATCCAAGAGTAGGTCAACCAGAACCATTCAAGAAAATATGACCATTCCAATATGACTGAAGTCCATTCGCAAAGAAGTTTGTACAGTTGAGTCTAATGCAGCATCATTTTAGATTGACAGTGGAGCTACAACACATATCATGAACTGATTTCCTGTAGTTTCATAGTCCTTGTATGATCAAGGCTGCTGGAAAAGAAACTTCATTACACTTGGAAAAAACTAATAAAAGTCAAAGAATCTATCTAAAATATGTTTGGTATGTACCTGAGATATACAGAAATTTATTTTTTCTACTTTCTACTCAAGATAGAAATCAAAGTACTAAACTTATCTCAACTTCTATGGAATGCTGGTTAAAAGTCAATGGTAAAGTCATGCTGCGTGAAAATCGTAGTGTATACAGTATTTCGTACGAGTTGTCTATTAATACAGTTATGGCTGAAAAAAAATTAGAAATACATGCAGCGTACTAGTTGCAGTTATATCATGGGATGAGGACATAAATATAATGTTATGGACATGCTTTCTATTTGATAATAAATTTTATTAGCCATGTAATTGAGAAAACAACATTGTCTATTTTTTTGTCATGAGAAATAAAGTTTGCAAGCCTAGCGAATTAATTTCAACTAGCATTCATACAGTTCTGATAAATCTTTACGGAAGGAAACTTAGTTGTGTTTAAAGACAGCTATATAAAGTTTCAGTAGGTTCATTTTATCAAGGAAATGTTTGAAGTTGCAAATGCTTGCACATACTAGGACCTTGGGATATTCAGTCACAGAATTTCTCAGTGGAGACAAGTTTGATAATGGTAATGTGCATGCAATTTTGTATTCTGAAGGAATTCCTCAGAGACTAACAGTACCATGTACACTTAAGTAAAATGGCTCCAATGAATGAGATAAGTTTACATTAATACGAATGGCTAGAATATTCAAATACTCAAATTCTGAAGCTCATTTCCTGTAGCAATGTGGGTTGAGCTAGTCAATACTGTCCTATATATATATATATATTATATATAAGGAACTGTCAAATCATGAGAAGTCCATGAGGGATTAAAAAGAAACCTTGAATAAAATATCTTAACATACTTAAGTTCTGTGCAGAGAAGAAAAAAAAATGGATAATGGCTTATTTAATTGGGTATGATGGAGATAAAGAGATACCTTTGGTGGCTCAAAGAAACCAATAATGTGAATTGCTCACATGATATTATATTATTTAATGAGGAACTTTCATAAACTGCGAAGATAGGGTACAATTACCTTTTCAAAATCAAGCTAAAACGTACTTCTGACTGTGAGTATCAAGAAAATTAAGAACATGATAAGACACTGGAGTTTTTAAGAAAGATAATTTAAAAAAATGAATGCAATAAAGAAATTTCTGGAGCTACATAAAAAAAAACTCTGATGACCAAAACATGAAAATATTAATCTACAAAATAATGCACAGCCAATACAGCTAAACTGAGGAAGCCAAAGCATTTAAAAAGATTATATAATGAGAGGTGAAGCTTTTGTTGCAGATTCTTAAGACATATTTAATAGACAATTATCAATAGTAAGCAAAGTACAACTGGAATGATTCTATGGATTCAGAGATGACCCCACTGATAGAAAATAAAACGTGGACTTTGGAAAAAATTATATAAAAAAAAAAAAAAAAAAATCTAAAGCTATATTATGCACGTGGATTCATAAAATAAAAAGGATCCTGACAGTTCTATGATAAAATTCAAGGCTAAATTTGCTGCTAAAGGGTTTACTCATGTTTTTCAGTAGATTATGGTCAAATGTTTAGTCCAGTAACAAAGTCTAACAGGATCTATCCATCAAACTCTCAGTATTATAGCCAACACGAAATTGTATCTTAACTATGTCTATTCAGCAATTTTATACAGAACATTTGAAGAATACATATACATGCTGCAAATCAGAAGGATATGGTAACGGTTCTGACAGAGTCTGCAAACTGAAATGCAGTTTGTATGGTCTAAAGCTGAATCACGCTATTGAAAAAAATATTTTCCCAGCTTCGGGTCACAGCTTGGCTTCAACAAAGTAAAGTTGATCGATGCTTGTATATATGAAATAAAGGTGCCAAGAAACTAATAATCTGTTTTTATGTAGATGATAGTTTGGTCACATCAATGGGCCTACAAGAATATGAAAAATTCATCAGAGAACTGAAATCAAGATTCAGAAGTACAACTAAATCAGTAGCATAATTTCCTGGATTTGAAATTAAGCATTTCGAGGAAGGGATTATCCAAATTAAGAAGCAAGTTTGCGAAAATTCTTCAAAAATTTAAGATGGAAGACTGCAAGCCAATATCTTATTCATACTTTGAAAAAAAATCCATCTTAAAAGGAAAGAAAGATGAATAAAACAGAGAAGTTTTCTCTTATAAAGAAACTGCAAGAGCTTTAATGCATCTTTGTTAGGTACAAGACCAGATTTAACATACAGTGTTAGCATTCTTTTATGTCACCTTGAAAATCTCTCAAAAGATGATGAACTTTCAAAACTCAAACATGTATTCAAATATATAACAGGCTCTTTTGATAAAGATATCACATACAACAAGCTCAAGCCAGAAATTTTGGAGTGTTAGTCATGTATTTAACAGTGTCTGCACGTAATACATGATAACCATAACTGTATTATAGAACAATAGCTGGTAATGTAGAATAAACAGTGTTTAGCTGATATTGTAGTCATCATTTACTTACAAGATATAAATAACTATTACTTTTCACTATTTAATGAAACTTTACATGGCACAGCCAATAAATATTTTTTGAAAAACCATACAGCATCACTTGCCAATAACCTTAAAGATTGTCTCAATGTTTGTACATAACTAGAAATTGTTTACAACAAAATAAAAATTTTCGTAGTTGGTAAGTGTGTTGTTTATTTTCATTTGAAGAGTCGAAAAATACGTATACACTATTTAAAGTTTTAAACTAATATGGACAAATTAAAGCTATCAAACAATCTTAAGTTCCAAATGCAGTATAAGTGAAAATTGGAAGAAGTGGCAAACAAATATTCCAGATTTACATGTTAGCATCCACTGGTAATACTAAATTGCCTGAAATTAAAGCAGCTTTTTTTAATGTACATTATTGGTGATGAAGTGCTTGAAAAGTTTAATACTTTTAATTTAAGACTGTAGACAAAGTATTCGAAGCTTTCGAAAATTACTTTTTACCAAAACCAAATGAAAGTGTTGATAAGTATATATTTTTTCCTCGAACACAACACTCAGATGAACTGTTTGATGACTTTTTAATAAAGCTGAAGAAATTACATAGTAATTTTGGATTCGCCAAATTAAGACAGAATAATAAGTGGAATTTTAAATAAAAATCTTAAAGATAAGCTATTAAGCAAAGATAAACTAAAAATGAAAAAAATGTATTAAAATGTGTAAAATTAACAAAACTTTGACTGAAAACTAACTCAGGAAAATAAAACAGAGGTGATAAAGCAGAATAAAATTTCACATTAAGAAAGTCAGTTTTGTGAGAGAAAATACCATATAATACAAAAACAACACAATATTAAATAATCTTCAAATTATCAAGGAAATAAGATCAATAATCCCCAACCATGTATAAAATGTGAAATTTTTAACAAGTTATAAAACTATCCTGCTTATACAGTAAATCACTTTTCTAAAATATGCACTTATAAAAGTGTTAATATTGTACAGATTAATTTACAGCACAAGTTACATTATAGTGATAATGAATATATTTTAGGCTTAGAAGAAGATAAAATTCCATTTTATAAAAATAGAACGCCTTCACTCAAAGCATTATTCAAATCAAAATTAAGACACTTCTTTTTATTGAGATAACAGGCCAGATAAATTTTGAAGGCAAAGTGGTACACAGTTGTATTTAAATTTACAACGAAAATTTTTAAAACGTTAAACTTTTTATTATTAACAGTTTTATTACAAGTATTCTTTATCAACCACTTATCACAGGATGATTAAAATTTTTTAGGTAATATTTGAAAAAAAAAAAAAAAAAAACCTAAATAAGCACTTTTTATCATGCAATGAATGGGCCTAACTCTAGCAGTGAAGCTATGACGACTAGCAGATGCAAGAATGACAGAAGAGATATGGATGAGCTGAATAAATTGCAAAACACATTCTGTTGAATAAATTACAGAAACTACTCAAAAGAGACACTACCAGAATTAATGTACATTTCACACCTTCTATATAAAGATTAATATACTATACTTCTATATTGCATTAGCAAAAACACAGGCATTTCTTGAACAGCAGCAATGGCAACAGAAATCTTAGCAACAAGGTCCTCATTGGAATTGATAGAGCTATCACCGATGAGACCTAAAAAATGTCATTAAAGGAAAATGCACAGACATGAAAGATCGGGTGATCATTCCAGCCAAGTGATGGGAATGCTCTCAATGGATTATCTTGGGAATGTTATATCCAAAGTGTTTCGCTTGGATATAACATCATGACAGAGCACTACTTCATTTTACCATATCCACAGTAAAAATAGTGCAAGAGCTCTGTCATGATGGAATCATGCTTTTTAAAATTTATTGACACTGAATTTAGCATTGGCAAGACTTCTTCAAAACTAGTAGTTACCTTCTCCTGTCAAGTCAGCCTGACAAAAGATATGGGCCAATTAAAGTGTAACAGCTAATCCTAGCTCAAACATTTATTGAGAAAACCTGCTTGCATGAATGCAGATGGGAGGCATGTAGATTACTGATTGCCCAAGCATCAGTATCATGATAATCAAAAAGTTCCTCTCATGCATTTATCACAAAATTAAACATATGCAGCAAAATTTGACTGTGCTGTAATCTGCTGAAGGGGACAGTATGCAAATCAGTTGGACACTGATCAGTTGGCACTTCTATGCATGGAAGAAATGTAATTATTTGTCTCTAAGTACATGTTGAATTGTTGATTGGGCCACTCTTATGGCATGGGAAATTTACTAAGTGCTATACATCTTTGATTTTATTTATGTGATTATGGCAAAGCCTCAAGGGCTATCTGCCTAATGGGAGTGATGCCTTTGTGGAGGACTTTCTAAGGGAACTTCTAACTGGCTCATATACATGTTATACATGAGGAAAACCATGAAACCACCCATGTAGCTAGCCTGTTCACAGAATTCGAACCTCAGACAAAGCAACCAATTTTCAGTGACTCACAAGCTCGGCTGCTGGTGGGCCCCTAAATATCTTCGAAGTGATCTCTAATCCTATGCAGAATTTCTCTGTAACCCATTGTGTCCTCATATTCCTTGAATAAACTATATTCTGCTAGGCATTAACAAATTTATTTCACAGAAATACTATCACTCATTCGCAGAAACACTAGCATTTACGATATGTCCTATGTCTTGCAGGACAGACTTCCAGCATAGTCTATGGTCCTCCTTCAGTCCTCCCAAAATCCATGGTCCACCAGTGGCTGGGTGTTAAATTTTCAATAGAATATTAAAAACATGGGCTCAAATTCTGGTGAATGGGTTGGCTACACAGGAAATTTCATGGTTTTTCACAAATGTAATGTAAATACAAGCTAGTTCTCCTTAAAACATCCTCTACAAAGGCATAAGGCATCTCTTCCTACAGGCAGACAGCTCTCGTGCTCTACATAATCCAAATAATATAATCTACCTTGAAATTCATGGTAGAAATGAAGAAGGATGCAGATAGCAGTGTTTATATGCCTTCATTGGAAAATGCTATGTAATCATTCACCATTGGGATGGGTGATGCTCATTCATTGTATGATGGCCCCCCCCCCCTTCAAAAAATTGTTTAAGTTTATTCTATAACCACTTAAACTTTTTCCCAGAGTTCTGAAACCCTCTATTGTGAAGCAAAATCAGTATTAAGTTTTTATCGGGTTTTAACAAAAGTTTCCTCCCACCATAAATATTCTCTGCGCAAACAGTTCATGTTTTATCGCAAACAGTCTGCGCAAACTGTTCATGTTAGACAAATACGATTAAACAGTTCATGTTTAATCGTATTTTGTCTAACAATTTTTGGCATTTGAAAGAAAGAGACTTGGTTTAGAACACTGCATTGTGAAATTTGTAAAACATAATTGTTATCATTAAGTGCAAGGTGTCCGAAATAGAACTACCATGATACTAGATTAGACCCATCATTTACATCCAGTTCTGTTGAATAAAGTCAGTTACAGAATGTCACTAAATCATGTGTTCAGCTTTAAGTACTAATGTTGTACCATATGTGTGTATGTGTATTTTAATACGGCAAAGCATACGAGGGCTATCTGCCTAAGGGGAGGGATGCCTTCGTGGAGGACTTTCTAAGGGAAACTGGCTCGTATACACGTTACACATGGGGAAAACCACGAAAACACCCATGCAGCCAGCCTGTTCGCGGGATTCGAACCTCGGACCGAACTACCAGTGTTCAGCGACTTTACCGCTCGGCCACTGGTGGGCTCTGTTGTACCATATGATACTGTGAAGGTTTGGTACCGAAGGTTCAGAAACAAGGACTATCACATTCAAGAAGCAAAGTACTCTGGCCAGCCTACTGATGTTGATGAGGTCCACCTGTGAGAACTTGAGGAAGAAGATCAATATGCAACCACTTGAGAACTTGCTAAGGAGTAAGATGTTAATGTCATGTCCATTAGTTGTGCTATATGTCATATAAACTCGACATACAAGAGCAATCGCTGAGTGCTGCATAAGGTGACTCAGGCAGATAAGGACAGGCGTGTTCGGGCTTGCACTAATCTGCTTGAATATCAGACAAAATTATGGACCCGATCGCCACTTGTGATGAAAAGTGGATTTACTTCAACAATAGAAACCTAAAAGGGGTTTGGTTTGCACCCAGTAAACCTGTCGGCTACGTCGCAAAGTGCAATTTGACTAACAAAAAGTTCATGCTTTGTATCTGGTGGGACTGCCATGGTATTATTGGCAAAGGGTATCTGGAAGAAGGTAAAACCATCGACAGCAAGGTGTATAACGAGATGCTAGTCCATGTTGATGCTGTTATCAATAAAACTATCAAACTGAGTTCAGGTGCATAAAGGTAATGTTCCATCAAGATAATGCAAGACCACATGTGTCTGCATTCACCGGCTGCACTCTGAACGGACTTGAATGGGATCTTTTGCCAAGCCCACCATGTAACCCTGACATTGATCCTGCGGACTTCTATCTTTTTCCACACCTGCAGTTACATATTCATGGTGCTATCTTCCATTCTGCACAGGACGTTTGAAATGAGGTTGATCTGTTTTTGGACTCGCACCCACCAAGTTTCTGGGACAAAGGCTTTGAGAAACCACCAAAGCGTTGGTATAAAATCTTAGATTTGGGTTGTGATTACTATCCACACTACAGGTACTGCTTTTAAGTTTTCCTCAACTTTATTAAAAACGTTTTTTTGGCAGAACGTTTTCGTTACAACCAGATAAATAAGTGCCTAAAACATCACAGAGGAAAGACATATATTTCTCTAAGCAATCCGCAGTAAAGTCATACATTTTATCAATGCTCATCAAAATCATTTTCCTCCATTACAGACTGTTCTGGATTCTTGCATATTACCAAAGTGCAAAATATTGCAACCAGTTTTACTTCATTGCTGCTAATTTACACACAACAACATGTCAGTATCTTCAATAAAATATTAAATTAGCTTATTTTTCACTCCAATAACACTTGCACTATACAAAACATCCCCCTAACAATGATGCAAGTAACAGGCAAAATGTTTAGTAACACACTGTTTTACGTCAACAACACTCAATATTCAGAATTTCAAAAATACTTGATGCATCAGTGAAATGTGATTTAGCAAAAAAAGAAATATTGTCACAATTCTCTAGAAAAACCATTTTGCAAGTGTTTATTGTTATAGGGTTACAGGCTGGAACTGCACCAACCTTTTACTACCACTGAAAGTTATGTGATTTCTCATCATTAGTTTCAAAAATCATTTTATATTAATCATAACCACCATGTATCATAAGCCCATTTATCCTACCATACAATTAGTTTGTTTTATAATCTCACAATTCAAAGTTAAAAGTTCAAACCTTTGAAATTACAATTCAGAGTTCTTCATTACAGAAGATAGGTGGGAGAAGGTAAAAATTATATATATATATTCAAGAATGCTGTATTTATAGGGGTTTATAAATAAACAGAATTTCATTCACTGACTGACCATAGACCAATAGCACATCAAAAGACACCTTTTAATCCACAAAATGAGGTCCAACTACTTCTTTCTGAATTGTTATGAAGTATGAGGAAACTTGCTAAATTTCTGGCACATATTTCCTTTACATTAGGCTATCTACCTAAGGGAAGGGACTCGCAAGTGGTCAAGTAGTTAAAGATTGTGAATTTCAACCTGGGTTTAACTCTTACATTTTCCTTAGAAAATTTCCCATAAAGGTTTCTGTCCCCTTGGGTAGACAAATTTTGTGTGCTTTGCCATAATCAAATTAAAGCATAAGCAAAGGAAAGCCTTGGTGTAGAAAGTATATCGGAACAGAAATTATATCGTATTAATGTTACACATAGGAAAAAACATAAAAACTCCCATTTAGCCAGCCTATCCACCAAGATAAGAACCGAGGTCGAACTACCAATGTTCAGCAATAAAAAAAATTGATGCTGGTGAGTTATATCTCCTTATAAATTCCACATTTATCAAAGCAGGCTGATAAATTTTAATGCTGTGACATTAAATTTAAAATGGTAAAAATTTCTGAGTGACTATGACAATTTTAATATAAGTATTTTAACCAAAGTTCAGAATTTGTTCGTGAAACCTTAGATAACATGCATAAATATGACTTAAATTACAAGGCACGCCTATAAAGTAACTAGACAATTCTTTATGAATAAGAAAAAGGTTTTACCCTCCAAATTAGTTTATCTCTTTCAAAATAATCACCAGAGGAGTCTGCATAATTTTCCCAAAATTTCTTCAGGTTATCGAAAATCTGTCCATAGGTGTTAGAACTAACCATTCACAAAATATGTGTAAGCATTTGAAGTTGAAAAGCACCTTATCTTTACTTAACCTTCAACTCTTTCGTACACATATTTAAAGCATTTATACCACTAATACACGTCTTCTTGATAATGATGCATCACCATATACTGTTTGAATCATCCTTAATGTTACAGTAGCAAATTTACCTAACTCATAACATTATTCCATGCCAAAGCAAATTTGTTTGTATGTCTTCTCATGAAATGAAAATGACTCAAGAAATGGACATGCATATGACAAAATGACCAGTTTAAATTGTCTTTAACAAGAGTTGAGGTATCACTCTTTATA